GTGCCATCACCCCAAGAGGTTCACACACCTTTGAAGTCAACCATTTCTCTCAGCCTCGTGCAACCACCAGTCTGGGTTGGTTTTATTTTTCCCATCTGGTTTTGCCTTTTCCAGAGTGTCATATAACTGAAATCTGGGGTGTGGCTTCTTTCCCTCATTGTAATCCTTTGGAGTTTGGTCCACACCGTTGCATATAGCAGGCTAGGTAGTATCCAAAGTATGAATGTACCACAGTTGGCTGGTCAGTTCGCCAGTTGAAGGACACTTGAGTTGTTTCTAGTTTGAGGCAATTAGGAATAAAGCTGCTATAAGAATTTGTATAGAAATGTTTATGTGGACGTGTGTTTTCATTTCTTCAGGAAAAACATCTAAAAATGGGATTCCTGAATTGTAAGGTAAATATATCTTTAGCTTTCAGGAAGCTGCCAAACTGTTTTCCAAAGTGGTTATATTATTTTGCATTTCTTCCAGCAAAGTAGGAAAGACCCAGTTGTTCCACATCCTTACCATTTGTCAGTTTCCCCACCCCGCCCTCTCTCCCGTCTAAAGATGTGCTATGTGGTACTTTAATTACCTATTTTTTTAGCGGTGGTACAGGCAGAAGTATGTGGAACTGCAGAGCTGGAAGCCACATGCAACCACAGTCTGAATCACTGGTTGTCCTGAATCACAGAGGGTGTGTGCAGGCAGTGCCTGGGATCTCACGAGATGGAGGACTGGACTAGAGGAATTTCAGCACGAATTCCCACTGTGGAGGGTCCTTCATTCTCTCTCTCTCTCTCCTTCTCTCTCCCTCTCTCCCTCTCTCTCATGCATGCACACACACACTCTATAAATAAAGGGGGAAAAAATCTATCTCTGTGTTTTGTTCCCTCAAGTGATGGTCCTGCAAAACAGGAGACAGGATTTGTTTATTTCTACATTGCCCACATAGAACTCTGTGGGGTGGGCTCTCGGTAAATCTTTATCTCATGTATGAATGAATGGATAAATGAATGGGGCTTTCCAGGTGGCTTGGCAGTATCTAGAGGACAGAGCTATTTATGCTCCATCTTTCTCACCTGGAAAAGCACTGCGATCCAAACAACTCTGCTCCAGGCACATGCCAGCACCTGGTCTACCTCTGTCCTCACTCCTTTTTGAAATCAGGCTGCCCTCAGTCTTTCCTCTCTAGTGCCTTTCTCTTGAAGTGCTGCCTGTTGCATTAGCCTCATTCCTTTGGAAATAAACAGAGTGAAAAGAGATCCTTCTCCACAGCCAGGTTATGGCCAACAGATCCCCTAGGGAACAAGCTGTTAGTGAGGTACAAGAACTGTGAAGTTAAGAGAGGGAACTGTTATGAGGACGAGCTGCTTCTGCCTGGAAGGTTGAATCTAAGCTAAGGTATGGGATGAGGATACACTGATTATCTCAGGGTGGACATAGAGGCAGCCCACCAGCCCGATGACCCTGGACCACATATTTGCCGTGCGTCCTGCAAGTTGTCCCCACCCTCTGGCTGCTGGGCTTCATTAGGGAGTTTTAAGTTGTTCTTTAGAGGGTGTGAGGACAAACCAGGAGGCTGTACAAACGATCTTCAAGGCAGGAATGGCTGGGAGGGCACTCAGTGCGAGGGAGATGAGGGGAAGACTATGTGATGGAGGAAAGGAGGAAACGAGATTGCAAGGCAGGAGGGGGTTGCCTGCAGAGCAGGCCTGGCTCCTCTGACCCAACCACAGGGCATCAGAGGGCAGCACTGATTAGGCCCTGAGGATCACTGGTTGTCCTGAATCACAGAGGGTGTGTGCAGGCAGTGCCTGGGATCTCACGAGATGGAGGACTGGACTAGAGGAATTTCAGCACGAATTCCCACTGTGGAGGGTCCTTCATTCTCTCTCTCTCTCTCCTTCTCTCTCCCTCTCTCCCTCTCTCTCATGCATGCACACACACACTCTATAAATAAAGGGGGAAAAAATCTATCTCTGTGTTTTGTTCCCTCAAGTGATGGTCCTGCAAAACAGGAGACAGGATTTGTTTATTTCTACATTGCCCACATAGAACTCTGTGGGGTGGGCTCTCGGTAAATCTTTATCTCATGTATGAATGAATGGATAAATGAATGGGGCTTTCCAGGTGGCTTGGCAGTATCTAGAGGACAGAGCTATTTATGCTCCATCTTTCTCACCTGGAAAAGCACTGCGATCCAAACAACTCTGCTCCAGGCACATGCCAGCACCTGGTCTACCTCTGTCCTCACTCCTTTTTGAAATCAGGCTGCCCTCAGTCTTTCCTCTCTAGTGCCTTTCTCTTGAAGTGCTGCCTGTTGCATTAGCCTCATTCCTTTGGAAATAAACAGAGTGAAAAGAGATCCTTCTCCACAGCCAGGTTATGGCCAGCAGATCCCCTAGGGAACAAGCTGTTAGTGAGGTACAAGAACTGTGAAGTTAAGAGAGGGAACTGTTATGAGGACGAGCTGCTTCTGCCTGGAAGGTTGAATCTAAGCTAAGGTATGGGATGAGGATACACTGATTATCTCAGGGTGGACATAGAGGCAGCCCACCAGCCCGATGACCCTGGACCACATATTTGCCGTGCGTCCTGCAAGTTGTCCCCACCCTCTGGCTGCTGGGCTTCATTAGGGAGTTTTAAGTTGTTCTTTGGAGGGTGTGAGGACAAACCAGGAGGCTGTACAAACGATCTTCAAGGCAGGAATGGCTGGGAGGGCACTCAGTGCGAGGGAGATGAGGGGAAGACTATGTGATGGAGGAAAGGAGGAAACGAGATTGCAAGGCAGGAGGGGGTTGCCTGCAGAGCAGGCCTGGCTCCTCTGACCCAACCACAGGGCATCAGAGGGCAGCACTGATTAGGCCCTGAGGGCTGACCACAGGATGCCTGGGCTAGCCTCTGGACCACAACGCATCTTTCATCTCCCTACAGACTGGCTCTGCAGTGGCCTCAATTCAGTTACACATTCTGGAACAATGGAGGAATCTATTGATGTAGAAGGGCAGTCCTTCCATAGATTTAGACACTGGGATACAGAATGCAACTGTCCTGAAGGATCTTTATAGGAGGGCTTGGGGGCAAGTGGAGGGGTCCTGAGAACTAAGTCCTGGAGATACGCAAAAATGGGCATGAAAAATGAACAAGGAATGAGTCACCAGAAACCAGGGCATTCATTCCCTTGTGTGGACTGACAAGGGCCAGAGGCCACCCAGCTCTTGGAGAAATTGGGCCAAGAGAAAAGAGAAGTTAAACCTTTAGAGATGGGATGGTGTGAGTTCAGGGCCTATTTCTGCTGTGGTGAAGACACTGAGTGCTGACAGTGTGGTCGGGTGAGGAATGGTCAAGAAGAAAAGAACCTTAGAGATCATCTACTCCAAATTCCCTCCTTCTATAGGTGACAGAGCTGAGGCCTAGGGTGAGGAAAAGATGTGCCCATGGTCGCGTGGCTAGGGAGCAGTAGAGCAAAGCTGGAGCCCGGGTCTCTGGACTCTTGAGGGCAGTTTTGAATCCAGAATGGCAGTTCATTAGGAAAACTGAGTTAGGAAACTTCTCTTAAAGAGCAAAAAGTGGGAACCAGCTGGTGGCATGGATGTTAAGGTGGCCAGATCCCATATAACCAACCATGTGGTTTGAGTCCTGGACCCAGTGGCTTGAAAATCATGCCAAGAGAGTGTGTGTGCATGCTCAAAATCCCAAGGGGAGAATGGAAAAGAAATTCTCATTCTCCCTACCCCTGTCTCTCTCAGGTGAGTGCACATGCCCCATGGCGAACAGAAGGAGGAGAAGGAGGAGGAGGAGGAGGAGGAAAGAAAAGAACAAAATAATAGGGCAAAAAGTGAGGCCAGATAGTGCCATAATAGTAAAACGCAGCTCTCTGTGAGGCGATTGCACATGAGAAGGCTCCTTGTTCAAGTCCTGAGACCCTCTGAGACCCCCTTGTGCTTGCCTATGATCCAGGACTGGCTGAAGGCTAAGGGTGGATTGCAGTGTCAGGACCCTGTTAGGGTACTCTCTTTCTCTCCTTTCTCTCTCTCTCTCTTTTCCTCATGGAAGAAATACATAAACATTTTTTTTAAAAGGAAAAATAGATAAAAAGGGGAAGCATTTGAGCTCATATCTGTCTGGACCGGTTCACTCCTATCCAATATACCTGCACCGTGCAGCCTCTGGTCACAGAGGCTGAACCTACGAGTGCAGCGCCAATGGACAACTTTCTCCTTCTTTAGAAAAATCATTCCAACAAAAAGTGGGCTAGTTGCTGCTGGAAGCACTTAGGCCTCGTTGTCCCAGGAAGCAGATAATCATGCGGGGCTGTATCTAGTGTAGCATATGGCAGAAGGGGGCTAGAATGTGGGATTGGAAAGGAGACTGTCCCCATCCCAAGTTTCAGGAAACTTCCTTCTTGCTGCCAGCTCTGTAGTGACTCTGGGAGGCAGCAAAGGAGGAGGAGATGCAGCTCTCTCATGAAAGGGTAAGAACGGCCTAAAGCTTACACTACACAATCACCTATAATTACACTATATTTCTCTACATTTTCAACTGCACATGACAGATTCTCTCTTCCTGCAACAACTTTCCCCTAAAGTTGATTTAATGTAGTAATTTTGTTCAGCGGCACCTAGCTCACTCTATTTCTAGGATTTGTCTTGGCCCATAAGACCTGCTGAAGGGACAGACTCAGTTGCCATCTTTTTCCCATTGATCCCCTAGACACAGCTGATTCGACCAGAATCAGATCCTATCTCAGGGTCAAACAACCTATTGGCTGGTCAGCAATCAATCAGCTTCCCTCTCTTGAGAAATTTAAGAATGCGCTACAGAGCCGGCATTCAATTAGAGTTTGAAGGTTACTGAGAGCTGGGAACTTCACCTATAAGCCAAGACTGAGAAGAGACGGAAGGTGTCGGGGGCAGAGAAGTTTCCTGAGTAAGCTTCAGAAAGTCAAATGACTCACATACATAAACAGATGAGACCTTTGGAGGGTCCAGAGAGAGAGAGTCAACAAAAGGGTCTATAGGTTATTTCAAAGACGTGTTATGTGGTTATAAAACCAAAGCTCTTAATGCTATGATCAAAGATGGAAGTTTTCCTGAATATGCTATAGTCACTAATGGTGCTGTTTTCTTAAGGAGATATAAGACTTGGCCACTCATACTCATGACAGTTCACTCATAATAATCCTGATTGGTGATATGGGAAAACAAATAAATGCCTCCAATTTTAAAAGAGAGAGAGAGAGCGTCTACCTCAAACCCCAATAATTCAGATTTCCCACATCCAGTTTCCAAGACACCAGGTTGTACTTCATTTCCACGAGCTGCCCTATAACCATACAATAGCTACCTTCTTTATTTTGGCTTGCGTGAATGCTTTTCTGTCCCCTGTAACCAGGAACTCCATCCCCAAATGCCTTTATCTTCAGGTAATCTAATTTCATATATTATAAAAATGGTCACTCTCAAATCTCCAAGGGATGGCCTTGGAGTTGGTCGTGGTGGCTGCCTCAGTCTCCACAGTTCCCATGACAATTATCCCTGGCAGAACAAAGACCATTAAGAAGCTGAACAAGAGGAGGAAAAAGGAAAGCTTCACCTTTGTAACTACATATGAAGTTTCCTGGAGAAAATGAGCTCCGGAGCTGAAAGAGAGGATCTAGTTAGAACTGGGGAAGTGTCTTTCATTGACTCGGGATGGCCCCTAGAGAGAACACGCTGTGTTTCCTCAAGTAATTCCTTTACTGGTTCCATAAACATTTATCGTGCACAGATATGAGCCTGATCCTGGGCTTGGAAACAAGACATAGACGACATAATGTCTTCTCATAGTTTAGTGAGGGAAACAAACATTTTAGCACTTTGTTGGTACTGCAAATAAGACTTTATTATGATTTACTTTCATGATAGTTATTATAATATCTCAATATTATAAT